ACATAAAAGAGAAAAAAAAGGAACAAAAAAAAAAGAGACAAGGAGAGAGAGAGAGAGAGAGAGAGAGAGAGAGAGAGAGAGAGAGAGAGAGAGAGAGAGAGAGAGAGAGCAAAAATGGCAAGGATGACAGCAGAAAACCTTGAATTATTGGTATTAGTATAGTTGGAGGGATACTAATCATCGGAATAATTGCTTATTTCTTCTTGAAAAAGGGTAAGAAGTTGAGTTTAAAAAAATAGCATGTTGAAAAAGTTTAAGACCCTCCAAGAATTACAAAAAGCATTCCCAACCGAACAAAGTTGTATCAAGTATCTAGAAAAAGTTATTTGGGATGGCAAACCTATCTCTCCTTGAGATCCTGCTTCTAAGGTTTACAAAATTGCTAAGAAAAATCAATATTTGTGCAAAAATACTAATAGAGAATTTAATATTAAAACCAACACCATATTTAAAGGAAGTAAAATACCATTGCCGGATTGATTTCTTGCTATCCATTTATTTACTTCTAATAAGAAAGGAATTTCCTCTCGCCAACTAGCAAAATTTCTTGGTATTCCTATTGCCTCCGCGTGGTTTATGCTTCATAGAATACGCCGAAGTCTAGACACTCCTCTTTTTAAAACCATGCTAAAAGGTTCTGTTGAAATAGATGAAACCTTTATCGGCGGTAAAAACAAATGGAGACATTGGAATAAGAAAGTTCCTAATTCGCAAGGTCGGAGTTGGATTGATAAAACTCCAGTGATGGGAATGTTAGAAAGAGGCGGTAATCTGATTTGTCAAGTAGTTCCTAATACTCAACAAAAAACTCTAGAACCAATAGTTTTTGCTAATATTAAAGAAAATTCTAATGTCTACACCGATGAATGATTTGCTTATAAAGATTTGGGTAGGAGATATAATCACCAATGAGTTAATCACAGTGCCAAACAGTATGCTAAAGGAGAAGTTTACACCAATTCTTTAGAAGGTTTTTGATCTCACTTGAAAAGGGGAATTAGAGGAACCTATCACCAAATAAGTAGAAAACATACCCAAAAATATGTGGATGAGTTTGTATTCCGCTATAATACTAGGAAATATGAAGAGCAAGAAAGGTTTAATTTAGCAATTTTAGGTTCGGTAGGTAAACAAATGACTTATCGAGAACTAGTTGGTCTAGAATAGGACAAGCAGTTGACTTGATAATTAGCAAAATTAAAATATTATGACTACATTACAGGAACACCTAAATCAAAAGTATCTAACTAGGGAGGATAAGGAGAAAGTGATAGCAATTGATTTAAACATTAGGGGAGAAATTACCGAAAAATTGGATGGGGGAGAATTGGACTTAAGAGAATATTCTAATCTAAAATACTTAGTTCTTACCTATTGTAAAGATATTTTAAAAACTCCTTTAACGAAAATAGATGTTGGTGGTTTAGTTAAATTAAGAAATTTTGATTGTGTTGGTAATCAAATAAATTCTATAAATTTGAGTGGTTGTGCTAATCTATTTTTACTCTATTGTGACAACAACAATCTAACCTCTGTAGACTTTTTAAATCAATTGCCTAATCCTGAAAAATTAGAACTCCTAACCCTTCACGACAATAATGTTCAAACAACCGACATATCAATACTCGGCAGATTTATTAATTTAAAAGTTTTAAGAATAGGAAGTGTAAGAGGCGAAAAGTCTAATCGCTTCTGCGGTTCATTTGAAGGTTGGAGAAATTTACATAAGTTAGAAAAATTTTGTATCGAAGATACTGATATTGATTGTGGTTTAGAGTATCTATTTAGTGATAAAAACTATCGTCCTGCTTTAACTTGCACACCCCATAATCCTTCTGCTAGATGTCGAATTATTCAAGATCAATTAAGACCTTATAATTATGATGTTAATGCTTGACAGTTGGCACATCCTCACCTTATGTATAAAACTAGACCTGAACTATTTGAACAGCCAGAAAGCAGAGAAAAATGACAAAATGCTGTAATCGCTAAAATCCAAAAAACCCAAACTAAACTCCAAGAAACTAAACAGTCTGAACCTGATAAAATTAAGAGAATTAAACGATTAGAACAAAAAATTGACAACTTAAACTTAATCAAAAAACTCATAGAGGAAAGAACTGTTTTCGAAGATTCTTTAAAAGCTGGAGTTCGTTGGTATGACAAATTTAAGGTAGATAAAGCAACTCAAACCGACCTAACTAGTGAACAAGTAAAAACTGCCTTAGAAGTTCAGAAGCAAACTCAAGAACTTGCCAAAAAATAGCATGAATAGCAAAAAAATAACTTGTGATAGATGTGGATCTCTTCAAGACAAATCCCTTATTAAAAAGCATAAAGAAGATGGGAAAAACTATTGCTTAAACTGTAAATTGATAGTTAGTGGTATAGATCCAAAAGATCTTGAGCCAGTTAGTCAAGAAGAATTTGATGAGGCACTGAAAAAGGTCGCCAAATCCCCACCAATAAAACTTAAAGATCTAAAAGAAGAGCTGAAAAAAGAAAGAGAAAAGAAGCGAAAAAGCAAGTAAATATAGTGGTATCTGAATCGAAGCCTCTTTAGTCTCGGTCGGAACTCATGGTAGTGGTTCAGATGCTGGAGTCCACATGGATTCTGAAGATGCTTCGGGTCATTTTCTCTCCAAAGTAATTAAAGCCTATGAAGATGCTATTGCCAAATATAAGAGAGGTGAATCAGTAAACGAGAAACATTATTTTTAAAGAACTATACCAGAAAATTATGAAAGACAGGGATAAAGGCAAGAAATAATTTACTAAAATATATAATATGAGTATGAGTGTTAGCACTACAACAAGAAAGGTAGAAGTTTTTAGAAAGAAAACAGAAGAAACTAGAAACCAAATAGAAAATTTGGAAAAAGCGGGGTTGATTAAATGGTGTGGTAGCGGTGGTGGTTATGAATGTAAAAGTTGTGGTCAAATAATGTTTAACTACTATAATCTCTTTTACGATGCGATCTATTTTTAGCACAAGGATAAACTTTGGAGGTTGGGTCGAAAGGAGAAGTTGGTAATTTTCCCCTTTCAAATAACTTTTTCCAAATACTCGATACACTTTTGCTCGTCAGGACAAGTTTTTAAAAGACCAAATAAACTTTTGAATTGAAACATTATGCTATATAATATATTTATATATTATTTTAATGGTTAGACGTTAAAAATGAAGTAAATGATTTGGATTTAGTGTAAAATTATATATTAATATATTAATCCCTTACTTAATATAATAAACTAATAATATGCAAGTATAGTTCAATATCCGCACTTTATTTTTTAGGCTCTGTCAACTAAGCACTCACTTGGATTTTTCATTTCCAGGACTATATTCTAATTTTATATATATCTGAATGTAGCAACTGTATATACATTAAAATAATAATATATATGACATGAAAATACTCCCTAACTGACATAGCAAGAGAGAGAGAGAGAGAGAGAGAGAGAGAGCAAAAAGTGGTCTCTAATCTCTTAGCAACTGACTATTTTTTTAGGAGGAGTAATAGGAATTTATAGTCTTTTTTAATCTAATTTCTTTAACTTTGCCTGAGCAATCAGGATAAATTATAAAAGAATATGCCAAAAAATCAAGAAAGTATAATCAATAAGTATTTATGTTGCTTAGGTAGCAGGAAAAAAGAAGATAAAGAAGCAATAGAACTAGCAGAAACTCAACCACTAAATATCACTGAGGATATTCAATCTCCAGTAGAAAGAGTTAGTAGTGTTGTTGTTTTGGACAATGTTGAGGAAACAAGAAATGAAGTTAAAACTGCAGAGATTGGTAATGATAGTAATAATATTATCATAGAAATTAAAGAGGATATTAACGTTATTGAAATAGAGGAAGAGATAACTAAGGATGAAGAAAAAGACTGAAAAAATATAGACATAAATTTCACCGCAGAATTACAAAAAGAATGAGAAGATAGAGGATTTGATTATGAAGAAGCAAAAGAATGAATAAAAGTTGGTTTAGAACCTGCTAAAGCTGATTATGCTGATTGATTAAGAAAGATTAAATATGAAAAAAGAAAGTGATGAGAAAGAGAAACAACGAAATATCAAGAATGAGTAGTTGAGCAGGGTCATGACCAAGAATTAAGAACCGAATATCAGGAATATAAAGTTTGAGTAGATATTCATAAGGATTTTACTGGTTCTTTGGGGAATATTTATCAAAATCATTGAAAAAAATATGGTTTTACCCCCACAACTACTCAACCGTGAATAGAAGCAGAATTAAAAGTAAGGGATTATGAATTAACTGCTTATGCGAGACATAGAGGTTATCAGCCAAGGCAAACCAACAAACAAGAACTAGACAAAGAATATAAGGAATGAGAAAAATCTTCTAAACCTGCCCAAGAATATTTAGATTGTTTTTATCCCCAGGCAGCAAGAGAACAAATAAAAGAGTTATCAACCTTTAGTATATTTAAAAAAATCAAAAATCTAACTGGGAAATTAGATTGCTCAGGCTTTATTAATTTAAAGAAATTGAGTTTTTCTAATAATCAATTAACTAACTTAGATGTTAGTAATTGTTTCCAACTAGAGGAAATTGAATGCTATAACAATCAATTAACTAATATCATTCTTCCTAACAATCCAATTAATCTAAAAAAATTATCTTTGTCTAATAACAATTTCCCTGATACTCAGGACTTATCTTTTTTAACTGGGGCGGTTAATTTAATAGAAATTTATTTAAGAGGTAATGAATTTACTGGTTCCCTAGAACCTTTAAAGGACTTAATAAAATTAGAGGAACTAAACATCAGTGATAACCAGTTAACTGGTTCTTTAGATTATTTAAGTAATCTGAGTAAGTTAAAAAAACTTGATATTAGCAACACGGATCTAAATGAAGTCAATATCGATAAATTACCTCAAAGTTTAGAGGAGATTAAATATTCAACGTTAGAAAGACCGAACTGTAAATTGACCACCATTGTTTCAGAATTAGAAAAGTATAAATGAGGACGATGTCGAAACTGTCAACAACCTAATACCATTAAGGGTTGATGCAAACCTTGTTTTGAACAGGAATTAAAGGAAAGTTCAAAACGCTTAACTGGGCAAGAACTTATTGAGAAGTTTATTGAAAAACAACCTAGTGGAAGAGTGAAATTAAAATGAGTTCCCTACGAAAAGTTCATCAATATCCAACCCTTAGCGGAGGGTGGCTTTAGTAAGATATACAAAGCTGAATGAAGTAAGTTTTATGACCATGGTGGTAATGAAACAGTTGTTTTAAAATCCTTAAACAGTTCTCAAAACATTATCTTTGAAGTTTTAACTGAGATTATTAATACTAAGTTGGCTAGTAGCAACAATAGTATTGTAATATGTCATGGTATTTCCCAAAACCCTACCACCAAGGATTATGTGATAGTGATGGCTTATATAAAAGGTGGTAATCTTCGACAATATTTACAACAAGAAGGTAGCATGTTAAGTCTAAAAGATAAACTAAGTAAGTTAGCCAGTATTGCTAGTGGATTAGTTAATATTCATAGCCAAGATTTGGTTCATTGTGACTTCCATTTGGGGAATATATTAAATGATAGTTTGTGTCCTATCACTGATCTTGGCCTCAGTCGACCAGTTAATTCTCAATTAGAAGAAGGTAAAATTTTTGGAGTAATGCCTTATGTAGCACCCGAAGTGCTTTGCGGTCAGCCTTATACTCAAGCAGCCGATATATATTCTTTTGGAATGGTGGCTTACGAAGTGCTTTCAGTATCACCTCCCTATCCTAATAGAAAGTATGATAATTCCTTAGCCTTAGACATCTGCCAAGGATTAAGACCCCAATTCCAAATTAAAATACCACAATTATTAGAAGACTTAATTAAAAGGTGTTGAGATGTTAACCCATTACAACGACCCACTGCTAGGGAATTAAGTGGTATTTTGCATGATTGATATCTTAATAGAGGAGAATATGCCGAATTTAATCAACAAATTAAAGAAACTGAAGTATTTAACCAAACCTTGCCTGCTGAAATAAGAAGTTCTAAATATAAATTACATCCAGGAGCAGTTATGCATAGTAAACTTATCAATACCAAACAAATTACCGAGTTAATTAATCTTTCGACTGTTGATCTCGATTCTTCTGAAATTGACCTTGACTTGGATCAGTTGGACATCATCTCAGAAGAGTGCGAACCAGCAGCCCAAATCCAAATCCCGCCTAAATAATATGACTCTCTGCGACCAATGTGCAAAACCCATTACGGGACAATATGTTTATAGTGAAGAAAAAAACGATGGCAAGAAATTTTGTTGCTCTAAATGCATGTATAAATACTATGATTTTAAATGTGCTGAATGTGGCAAGATTTTACCAGGCGTATCATTTGAAAAAGATGGTAAACATTTTTGTGGAACTGCTTGTCAAGATAAATATACTGGTAGAGAAACCAAAGGGCAAATCTCTGATTTCTGACAAAAATATAAAGGCTGAATTATTGGAGGGGGAATATTGCTAGTGCTGATAATAATCCTAGGAATAGTATTCAGTAGTAAAAAGAAAAAAAAAAGTAAAGATTAAGTAAAAGAGGGAGGGGAAAGCGATGACTTTCCCCTTATCTAATAAGTGTTCGCGTTTATTAGGTAATTAATCAAAAAGTTTCGGGTCATCCAAACTATCTACTTTTCTTTTTAATTCATCTTTAGTATAGAAATTATTACTAAATCTACCAGCCAATATTTTTATTTCTTTAATATCCTCATCAGTCATGGGAATGTTAAATTCTCCTTTGACTTTCCCAGCCGCTGTGCAATGGTAAATATTGATTTTTACTTTCGGACCTTTATTAAATATGTTTCCAATCGTTGGCATGGACACATAACCATTTCCCAACGAACGAAAAGGAACAAAAACCGGCTGACCACTGCCATCATCGGTACACTTTTTCACCTCCTCCTTGCCTAGGGAATAATCCATCAGGGCATTTCAGGCTCGTTCTCGCATTTTTTCAATGGCTACTACTTCTTGTCGTTTGGCTTCTAACTGGCTAGTTTTATCCCGCTCAATTTTATCTGCCTCGGCTTTTTTAGCCGCATTTTCTCGGTCTTTAATTAATCTGGCTAATTCCTCTTGGGCTTTTTGCTTGTCATCTGCTAACTTTTGTTCAGTTTCGGTTAATTCTTTTCGGTTTTTTTCTTTAAGTTCATTTAATTCCTTTTCTCGTTTAACTTTTTGTCTCAGTAATTCGGCTTCATTATCTCGGCGGGTTTGCTCCAAAGCCAGTTTATCTTTCTCTTGCTGTTCCAAAATAACTTGCCGGGCTTTTTGGTCATCCACTGCAATTTGTTCTAATTTTTTTTGGGTTTCTTTTTCCAATAACTCTTTTTGTTTTTCTAATTGTTCTTGCTGGAATTTATTTTGTTTGTCTAATTCCTCAATGGCCGCTTTTTTCTTCTGTTCAGCAATCTCGGCTTCTTTAACTTGGTTAGCATAGTTTTCTTCTCTTTTTTTCTGTTGTTCTTCAAAGTTCTTTTGTTGAGTTTTTAAAAAGGCGGCTTGTTCTTCTTTTAAGGCTTGTTCACGAGCCTGACGGGCTTCTTCCCGTTTGGCCTCTTCTGCTTCGGCTAATTCTTTTTCTTTTTGTCTTTGCTCGGCTTGTTCTTTAAGTTTACGTTCTTTTTCACTGAGATTAGTTTGCCGACGAGCCAATTCCGCTGCTTCTAATTTTTTGCGGGCTGCTTCTCTTTCCTGCTTTTTCTT